CTCCCTAATTCATTCTACAAGGCCAGCATTATCCCAACACCACAACCAGGCAAGGACACAACAAAAAAAAGAAAACTGCAAGCCAATATTCCTGATGAACATAAATGGAAAAATCCTTAACAAAATACTAGCAAACCAAAATCAACAGCATCTGAAATGATAAAACACTATAATGAAGTGGGATTTACCCCAGGGATGCAAGGATCGTTTAACATACCCAAATCAATAAACACAATCCATCACATCAACAGAATGAAGGAAAAAACTGTATGATCATCTCAATAGATGCAGAAAAAGCATTGGTAAAATTCAACATCCTTTCATTATAAAAAAACTCTCAACAAACTAGGCATAAAAAAAACACACCTCAACACAATAAAGGCCATATATGACAAACTCACAGCCAACATCATACTGAAGGGGAAAAAGCTCAAAGCCTTTCCTCTAAGTACTGGAACAAGACAGGGCATGCCCACTTTCATTACCCCTATTCAACATAGTACTATAATTTCTAGCCAGAGCAATCAGGTAAGACAAAGAAACAAAAGGCATGCAAATTGGAAAAGAGAAAGTCAAATTATCCCTCTTTGTGGATGATGTGATCCTGTATCTAGAAAAACCTAAAGATTCCACAAAAAACCTCTTAGATCTAATAAATAAATTCAGTAAAGGTGCAGGATACAAAATCAACACAAGAAAATCAGTAGCACTTCCATATACCAATTATGAACTGGTTGAGAAAGAAATCAAGAAAACAATGTCATTAATAGATACAAACAAAATAAAATACAAATTTAACCAAGAAGGTAAAAGACTCCTACAAGGAAAACTACAAAACACTGATGAGAAAACTGAAGAGGACACAAACAAATGGAAAGACATCCCATGCTCATAGATAAGAATAATTAATATCAGTAAAAGGACCATACTGCCTAAAGCAATCTACAGATCAGATTCAATGCAATCTTTATCAAAATATCAGTATCATTTTACATAGGATTAGAAAAAACAACCATAAAATTTGGATGGAACCACATAAAACCCCAAATAGCCAAAGCCATCCTGAGTAAAAAGAACAAAGCTGGAGGCATCATAGTACCTGACTTTAAAATACACTACAAGGCCACAGTAACCAAAACAGCACGGTATTGGTATAAAAACAGACACACAGACCAATGGAATAGAACAGAACACCCAGAAATAAATCCACCTATTTACAGCCAACAGATTTTCAACAAAGGTGCCAAGAACATACACTGGAGAAAGGATATCCTCTTCAATAAATAGTGCTGGAAAATTGTGTATCCATATGAAAAAGAATGAAACTGGACCCCTATCATTCACCATATACAAAAATCAACTTAAGATGGATTAATAACTTAACCATAAGACCCATAACCATAAAACTACTACAAGAAACACTGGGGGCTAGGCATGGTGGCTCACGCCTGTAATCCTAGCACTCTGGGAGGCTGAGGCGGGAGGATCACTTGAGGCCAGGAGCTCAAGACTAACCTGAGCAAATCAAGACCCTGTCTCTACAAAAAAGAGAAAAATTAGCTGGGCATGGTGGCGCACGCCTGTAGTCCCAGCTACTCGGGAGGCTGAGTGAGGCACAAGGATCACTTGAGCCCAGAAGTTTGAGGTTGCAGTGAGCTATGATGATGCAACTGCACTCTAGCTGAGGCAACACAGCAAGACACTGTCTCAAAAAAAAGAAAGAAAGAAACATTGGAGAAACACTTCAGGACACTGGTCTAGGCAAAGACTTTTATGGCTAAGACCCCATAACCAAGTGCGACAATAACAAAAACAAATGTGGGACTTAATTAAAATAAAAAGTTTCTACACAGCAGAAGAAATAACCAAGGGAGTAAATAAACAACCCACAGAATTGGGAGGAAATATTCACAAACTGTACATCCAACAAAAGACTATTATTCAGAATCTACAAGGAACTCAAACAAATCAGCAAGAAAAAAAAATATTAAAAAGTGGGCAAAAGATATGAACAGTTTTCAAAAGAAGAGACACAAATGGCAAAAAAACATACATTAAAATGCTCAACATCGCTAATCATCAGGGAAATGCAAATTAAAACCACAATAAGATACTACCTTACCACAGAATGGCTATTAAAAAGTCAATAAACAATAGATGTGGGTGTGGATACCATGAAAAGGGAATGATTATACACTGTTGGTGGGAATGTGATTAGCACAACCTCTATGGATGACAATATGGAAATTTCTCAAAGAACTAAAAGCATATCTACCATTCAATACAACAACCTCACTACTGGGGACATACCCAAAGGAAAAGAAATCATTATTTCAAACAAGACACCTGTACTTAAATGTTTGTTGCAGCACAATTCACAAATTGCAAAGATACGGAATCAATCTAAGTGCCCATAAACCAATGAGTGGATAAACAAAAAGTATTCCACACCATGGAACACTACTCAGCCATAAAAAAGAATGAAATAATGTCTTTCGCAGCAACTTGGATGATACTGGAGGCCATCTTCCTAAGGTATCCTAAGCTTTTCATTTTCTTCAGTTTCTGTTTAATTTTTGCCAGGCTGACATTAGACCCTAAATTAAAGTCACCAACAGCCAAACTTTCCCTATTAAAAACAAATTCACTCATTTTAAAAA